AACTTTTATCAATTAAGTCACTGTTCTGTTTGAATATAAACCTGAAAACCTGAAGTCAAAGCAATAAATAAATGAATATGAAAGTACCAGGATAGAGAGATGACACTGTGTTAAAGAGAGTTAAAGGTAGAAAAAGAGTGATTAAAGAAGACCACAGATCTGAGTGAGTCTATACTCTGTCCTTAATGCTTAATGCTGAGTTGGAATCTAGGATTCCAGGACTTTAAACGTGTTAAACCTCCTTTACTTCATTTCAGTATTATAGTTATAGTTAATTATATCCAGTTATATAATTCAAATGATAAGTTATTGAAGGTGCCATACATAAAGAAGAATTGTCAGGTGTATATTTAGTGGCCGCTGTCTCTCTATCCAATTCTTAATTCATTTATGTATTGATTTGAGCGGCTCTTGAGATTGCACAATGACATGTAACACGCATGTAATATAACTGCCGATGCACATTATGCATTTTTCGAAAAGCCATTTTCCCTCTTTTTGAGAATGCTTTCCACTCAGCATGGCCTAACGTCCCTTATAAACAACTATTTCTGAAAGCACTTCATTTGCATCTCAGATGAAGCGAAGAGCCATTCTCTCAGCAAGTGCAATGTCAGAACTGGGTGAGAAAGATTCAGTTGGTTTGGTCAGTGTTGAGCAATTCAGTTGGGCATTTTACATACAGTACATGTGCTGTGAAATTGAAGCGCCTCACGTCCATCAGTAGTGAGGTTGTGTACGTGCTGAGAGAATCCCGCTCTGGAGCTCCTTCCTGTCTGACTGTAAGGACGAGGGAATATGGCTCCACAAATCCAGTCTGCCAACGACATGCATGCTCAGCTGTCTGCCTGAGAGCTGCTGGTCGGCCTGTATACAGTGACACTGGTAGTGACCAGCTTTTGACTGGCTAAAATAAAGTTAGGTGATTCTACATTTTTGAAAACAGCAGATTTTGAGTTGGCCTGTGGGAACCCTCCTTCAGAATAGTGTTAAAATTTGAATCTGTTTCATGAGATAAAGATTTGGGATGTTCTATCAAAGAGTCAGTAGGGGTAAGAATGTTGACTGCACTGGGTGATGGGGGGTTGGGGAGCAACAAGACACTTCATAGTGAAATGGTAAACACTAGAGTGATTTATAACATCTGTATTACATTTGTCTCTCTGTCATGTATGAGTGGGCATTTTAAATAGGGAGGATTACTATTAACATGCAGTAAAGAAAACAGTACTGGTTTTACTGTAGTGTGTGTGTATGAGTGTGTGTGTGTTACATTAATTATGACTTCATAATTATCCGAGATAACATTTTTTAAAAATCTTGTGTATTGCTGAAACAGACCCGTTTTTCCAACTGATTCATTATAATTATGGAAAAATGTCAACTTAAAATTCAAAAATCATAAAGTCTTCTAATCTGCCACTGTAAAGAAGGATTATAACAGTCCAATTTTTGCTGACATTTATATTAAATTTAATATATACTTTGCATTCATAGCAACACACGTCCACTTTCTGTAGCGTCTCTGAAGTCACATCAGTGCTGCTCTGGTTACAGTAGAATAGTGCTGATGCAGCGTTCCTGCCTAATCTTACCCCAAACCTCTCTTCGTACTTTACAGACGTGTGCAGGGCGTATTCTTAGTAGAATAAATGGCTGAGCATTGTTTCCAACTAGAAATGTGATGCCATTACAGTATGGAGTGTCCTGTTGGAGGGGATTGACTGTAATGCTGTTGTTTTCCTGCTTCTCACTTTGTCATATCCTGTCTCTCCTGGTCTGGTCTAGGTGGTAGTCAACGCCTTGGTGGGTGCCATCCCTTCCATTATGAATGTGTTGCTGGTTTGCCTCATCTTTTGGCTGATTTTCAGTATCATGGGTGTCAACCTTTTTGCCGGCAAGTACTACTATTGTTTCAATGAAACCGCCGAGCAGTACTTTCCCTTGGACAAGGTCAACAACAAGACGGAGTGTGTGGCCCTCATGAACGACAACCACACCGAAGTCAGGTGGAAGAATGTCAAAATCAACTTTGACAATGTGGGCGCCGGCTACCTTGCTCTGCTGCAAGTGGTGAGAATGTTGCTCCAACTCAGCAATCTATCCCAATTTCTTGTGGTACTTTTTCAAAACTTTTCAAAACTAATTAAATGTTTGTTTTCGTTCCACAGGCCACATTCAAAGGCTGGATGGACATTATGTACGCTGCTGTGGATTCCAGAGAGGTACTTGCTTTTTTGATAAAGAAGGTATCATTGATAAAAAACTGACACACAGCTGTTTAAAAAAATTAGCATTAAACTCATTTAACCCTAAAAATAAAACTCTATGGGATTAAGGTGCCCCCAATTTTTCAATGAAAACACATTATCTGTGGAGCTCATCTACGTAAATCAAGATAATCCAACATGGCAGCCACTGTAGGGAAGCTCCGCCTCCTGAAGGTAAATTCTGGGATAATGAAAACAACATTAAATACAAAGAAGTGAAAGAACACTAACTGTACTGTATATATAACAAATTTCTGCCAAGTGAACATGAATGGAAATTATTTTCACCAAATCTTACAGTACGCTAGGTACTTAGCCTGGTGTCTGTTAGCGATTGTTAAAAACATGCTAACCCAGCACTAAAGAGATCACCTTTAATATATTTTCTTTTCGTAAAGGTGGAGTCATTTCAAAGATAAACTATCACTTTTAATATATTTTCTTTTCGTAAAGGTGGAAGACCAACCAGACTATGAAGTCAACATCTACATGTACATCTACTTTGTAATATTTATCATCTTCGGGTCCTTCTTCACACTGAACCTCTTTATTGGTGTCATCATTGACAACTTCAACCAGCAGAAGAAAAAGATAAGAACAGCCTCTTTGTCTCTTTTTTATTTGAAGAACTGAGGTATGAAGTTTAGAGTGTGATTATAACCAGCTTGTTGTTTGTCCCTTTACTTTGGAGGTCAGGACATCTTCATGACAGAAGAACAGAAGAAATACTACAATGCAATGAAAAAACTGGGATCTAAAAAACCACAGAAACCTATTCCTCGACCGCAGGTGTGTCCTTTGTTGCAGTTCCTTGATTTTTCTCCTTCCGACTGTTTTGTTAAAACCTAATTATTGTTAACAATTCTTTGTCTTCTCTTCTCTAACAGAACAAGATCCAGGGAATGGTGTTTGACTTTGTGACTCAGCAGGTTTTCGACATCTCCATCATGATTTTGATTTGCCTCAACATGGTCACCATGATGGTGGAAACAGACGATCAGTCCAACGAAACTGAGGTCGTCCTGTACTGGGTCAACTTCATCTTCATCGTAGTGTTCACTACGGAGTTCCTGCTTAAGCTCTTTGCACTTCGTCACTATTACTTCACCAATGGCTGGAATATCTTTGACGTGGTCGTGGTCATTCTGTCCATCGTTGGTGAGTGAGAGATGCTGTCAGGAGGTCACCTGAATATGAAAGCTGTAGAAGTCTGTTGTGTTCTGATCGTTTCCTTCCGTGTGTTCTACCACAGGTATGTTCTTGGCTGACCTCATTGAGAAGTACTTTGTGTCGCCCACCCTCTTCAGGGTGATCAGGTTGGCTCGTATCGGTCGTATTCTCCGTCTCATCAAAGGAGCTAAAGGCATACGAACGCTCCTCTTTGCACTAATGATGTCACTGCCAGCCCTGTTCAACATTGGTCTTCTGCTCTTCCTGGTCATGTTCATCTTCTCCATCTTTGGCATGTCTAACTTTGGCTACGTAAAGCACGGAGCAGGCATTGACGACTTGTACAACTTTGAGACTTTTGGAAACAGCATGATCATCCTCTTCATGATAACAACGTCAGCTGGATGGGATGGCCTGCTGCTGCCGATCCTCAACTACCCACCAGACTGTGACCCCAACCTGGAGAACCCTGGTACATCCGTGAAGGGAGACTGTGGAAACCCCTCAGTGGGAATCTTCTTTTTTGTCATGTATATCATCATTTCTTTCCTGATTGTGGTCAACATGTACATTGCCATCATCTTGGAGAACTTCAGTGTGGCCACAGAGGAAAGTGCTGATCCACTCAGTGAGGATGACTTTGAGACCTTCTATGAGATTTGGGAGAAGTTTGACCCCACTGCCTCTCAGTTCATCACCTTTGCCAAGCTGTCTGACTTTGCCGATGCATTGGAGCACCCACTTCGCGTGCCAAAGCCCAACACTATAGAGCTCATAGCCATGGACATGCCTATGGTGAGTGGCGACCGCATTCACTGCCTGGACATCCTGTTTGCATTCACCAAGCGTGTGCTGGGTGACAGTGGTGAGCTGGACATGCTGAGGCAGCAGATGGAGGAGCGATTTGTGGCTGCCAACCCCTCCAAGGTTTCGTACGAACCCATCACCACCACTCTCCGCCGCAAACAGGAGGATGTCTCTGCCAGAATTATTCAGAACGCCTTTCGTGCTCACCTCATCAGGCGCGGGATCATCTTCAAGCGCCACACTTTTACTAACAATAAGCTCGAGAATGGTGGGACCAACCAGGAGAAGAAGGAGAGCACACCCTCCACTGCCTCTCTGCCATCGTACGACAGTGTGACCAAACCCGACAAGGAGAAACAGGATGATAACAAGGAGGAGTTTGCCAGGAAAGAGAAGGACAAAAACCAAAAAGATGAGTGGGAATCCAAGTGTTAGGGTTTAGTGACTCAAATGTAATAAAAACAGAGCAAAATGAGACTCTGAGCCCAAACCCAACAAATGTAGAAAAAGTGATCATTTGCAAGCAAGAAAAAAAACAAAACAACAAAAACATAGACAAAATGTTTACAGACTTGAAAACTGCTGGGGCAGCGTGGTCTCTGAAGTCATCAAGGATAGCTGAACCAAACGCAATCAGTTTACCGTGGAACTTTTGCTGCATAGCGACCAAGTTCAGAGAAATGAGGAACAAACATAAAGTGAAAAAAAAACAGTGACTAACGAAGTGTGCTGGCCAATCACTCACAATTCTTTGGGGACCAACTGCCAAGGCACAGAAGTCTCTGCCAGATAATTGGAGAAATGCAAAATCCCTGCCACCACCCAGTGTGGATCCCCACAGCAGAGCTCTAATGCTATGGGACCGGATCTCAGAGATCCTGTTAGAACTGTGTTAGCAGTCTAAATGAGGGTCTGAAACGCTGAGTTTACCAAGACAATGATAATGAAACACACGTTTAGCTAGGAATGAAACACTTGCAAGGAAGTGGGGGAAGGAGGGAACCCAGAACTGCAAACAAATGTTTTTGGTTTTTTTTGGTTGTCTGTGCTGAGTATATTTGCATCGAAACATTATTTGAGCAGCAAAAAAAAAAAAAAAAAAAGAAAGAAAAATATTACATTTAGCCCATGTCACTAGTCTTTTCATCTCCTCTTTGTTAAACTGACACTTAGAAAAGGCATTCTCTACATGGGCTTTCACACTGACCAGGATTGGGGTCATTAGTCATTGATTTGACTTGGGCTGAAGGAGACTTGCTCAGACCGAGTTCCAGATAACTAATAATTATTGTGCTCGTTCAATGCATAGAAATGACTTGCATGAAGGCATGTTTTGATCAGGAATCATGCATGAGTTAATCATAGTCCACAAGACACTTAAATCTCAGGCCACTGCAGTGGTCTGGATAGAAGGTTGAGGCTGTCCAACGGGAAAATACAAGAGATGAAGATTTTGAAAATACATGCATTTAGAATATGGAAGGGACTGATATTTGTGTGATTCCAACCTTAGTAGTACTTTTTTCAACTGATTTGGGGTTTTTATTCATCCCTTCATTAAATGTTCAGCTGATGGAAGGAGGTAAGAACTCAGAGGTGATGATGCTGATCAGAATCAGACAGATAGACACAGTTTTCCTGCTGCTGTTGGTGGGTTGTTGGAGTGTGTGATTGTTAGGAAGGAATCAAGATATTTTTTATGTTGATGATGCACCAATTTTATGGGGCCAGGTTAAGGTCTATAAAAAATCTTCGAGGTTGCCATTTTATTATTTATTTACATCCATTATAAAGTCACTTTTCTTACCAGAACCCTTGGCCAGGAGAACAGGTGATGTTTCACGCCAAGGAACCTATAGATGGCACCATTCCAGCTCTGATGTGGTCAATAGATTTTTCACCTGCTGCCAAATTCCCTGGAAATGGGATATGAATAGTTTTTGTATTTTTTGCTATTCGGTTTGGGCTGGTGGAAGAACAGACTGTAGTTGTAGAGATTTAATTCAAACACTTCCTGTTTGGTACTGTATCAAATCCATATCAAAATTTTAACAGTGATTGATGTCTCAGATGGAGCTTTCTGAATGGCCAGCTTTTCTCCAGATGAAGGGAGTGATATTACAATCTCAGATAAGGTGTTGAACAGTGAGGATGGTGCTGACCATCTAGAAACAAAGGAGCTAGCATAGAATTATCACCAGGACATGCCTTGTCGTGCCTAGCTAGTTTGAAAGATGGACGGCCATGAAGGACTTGCGTGTCCACGGAAACGTATTGATTTTTTTGTCTGATGTCAGAGGGAGGTGAACAGCTGATAAATAACAGTACGACCGGACCAATACATAGGTGGCGCCCCTCCCTTCAGGGTTTTAGACCGACTGCCATAAAGAACAAGAAGGAAACTCAAGCGAAGAGAGGAGCAGTGATTTGGTCTGAGTCAGAGTGCTGAAAGTCCCATGTTTGTCAGTGTATCATTGTGCTTTTGTGGGACCTCGCGAACACTGTGTGGTGTTGGACCCAGACTTGCACCGTCTTCTCACTTTCTTGCAGGCTTTCAAAGGCTTTCACCCGCTTTAGAGATATTCAGAGATGGAGGTATAGAAGCCTAACACTCGCCGTGATAAAACATCAGCAGGCCTCGCATCGATGCAGCTACGTTGTATTATAAGCTTTGTGGGTGTTTTTCATGATACAAGAACAACACACAACCTGAGGCTTTTTTTTCAATGGTCCACTAGACACAACTGCCTCCTCGCCATGTTCCTGCCACTTTTTTTCTACACAGGAGTGATGGTCCTACTGATAAGTGGACATCCAGGTATAAATCTGGTGTCCATCGCCGCACCATTGATGCTGTTTGGTGTGTTTAACACTGCCTGTACCAGAAGCCCCTGTCTGTACGAATACCTGAGGTCTGTTTACAATATGAGGTCTCTGAATCAGTTTGGCTGCTGCACACTGAAACCAAATACATTCCCAATGAGATCTACTGGAAGAGTGAGTAATGTCATTCGATCTACCCATGTTCATTCTCGATGTAATGTTTTAGAATGATACATTCACACTTGTAAAAGGAGAAAAAAGAAAAAAAAAACAACAAAAAAGAATACACAAAAACCTATATATGTACAGTGCAGGCTATGATGTAAATGGCACAATGCTGAAAAAGAACGAACTTTTTGAGAGAAAACTATAAATATTGTATCATATTTTATTTTATCGGCATGCTTTGTTGTGTTTTTTTGTAAATACGGAATTTTAAAAAAATGTTACTACTAATAATCAAAAAATAAATAACAATAATATAGAATGGCTTCCAGCTATGCCCTTCGTCACATTTGTTACCTTTTGGATTTTTTGAGACACTTTTCACTTTGTTGACGGAAATTGAACGATATATAGATATTATATAATACAAAAAGATATATACATGTATACATATGTGTCTATATGTATATACATAAAACAGATGAACACTGTTTGTCACATTTGATTTATGTGCAACACGTTCAGTGGATGTCTAAACCTTTCCAGCACCCTTCTGTGTTTGGGGGATAGCTCATGTTGGATTTTACTGGAGCTGCTTGCCATGGATTGTAGCCTGATTATGACAAAAGGATCATGTTACCAGCACATTTCTCACCTACTGTCAAAACCTCACCGCCACTGAATATACAGGACACAGCCTCTCACACACACTCACATGCACAGGTACACACAAATGTTTAAAAACACTATTCTCTGACTGCCTCATTCCCCCTCAGAGTGTTCGTTCCCCACGTCCTTTTCTTCTTCTTACACACACACACACCCACACACACATCAGTGCCATTACTACTTCACATTCGTCTGATCATGTCCGGCTTCTCATCCTATTATTTCTTTTGTTAAAGGATTCTTTTAGTGTCCCACTCACTGGCATGTGCCTTTTCTGCATTTTTTTCTGCAAATTTAGACGTTGACGCCACACAGGAAAAAAAGAGATACAAATAAACATGCAGGATGGGGTTTTGAGCAACATTAATCAGGGATGTGGTGACAGAAACATTGCCGGAGGATCATCCACACAGCCCTACTTCATACTAATAACAATGTGTGATGTTAACAAAAGAAAAAAACAAACAAAAAACAGCTATCTCAAAAATGTCCTGTTCTTAGTGCTATGTGTGTCACTCACTTGGCTTGTGAAAAAGCAGCTTGCCTTCTCTGTTTCTGTTCTGTTTCTTCCGTTCTTCCATCTGAAATTTATTTTTGTATCAATATTTCTTTATAGGCCTCATTTTCTTTTTTAAAGCATTATTATAGGCTTTTTTTTCTTTTATTTTCTGCTGAGAAATTTAAAAAAAAAAGCTTTTTTGAAACTGTTGTTATCATTTGACACCTTGATAGAGGATAAACAGTACAATACGATGGTGTGTTGCACAACCACTTGGGCTTTTGGTGAGAATATATGAAAGATTGTCTTCATTTGAGCACGAACCTTTTTATTACCAATAAAGCAGCCTTCCAACTACTACTGGTGTTTTGTTTCTTGACAACCTGGAACATTGACGTGAATGTTGTGTTTTTTTAATGCTGATCCTCTTCCTCGCCTGCTCTGCTCTGTGGGTTCAGATCATGTTCCTGGATTTTGCCATCGCTACCATTTTGTGTGCGTTATTTTTTACTTCTGTGAAGCAGTGTGTGTGAATACAAGTCCAAAAACATCCTGTAAAATGGAGCTGAGTGCTGCTGTGGTAACAGGGTCATGAAAGGCAGCCTTTCAAATGTAATGGACTTATTGGATTTGTTAAGAGCACTGTGTTAACAACCCCCTCACAGACAGAGGGTGGACCAGTGCAGTCCATCTGTGCTCCGGTCCAGGTCGTTGTGGTCACACAAAGTGGAATGATCTTAGAAGGCGTCGCCTTCATAACCTCCCCACCTCAGGTAAACAGGGCAGAGATCGTCCCTGCTCAGGAATATTGATTTGTTCTTGCTCTGTTGCACTTTTTACATTGGTTTCCATAAGTGTGTTCCCTTCGAATCAATCTTAGTGGAGCGTCTAAATGAGGCGAAGAATCGTCCACATCAGCCAGACAACTCTATCTGGACTAATACTTTGTTTTATAGCGACGACTCGGCACAAAGTATTAAATCTAAACACAGGGAATGTCACTGCCTCCATTTCTTATAGGAGTAGTAGTAAAGTGGAGTAGTAGAGTGCATTTAGGTTGCCATAACAACACCATTGTTTTGTGTAGATTAGGGCTGTCAAAAGACTGAAGAATGTCCCTGTATTAAGGACAAGGACTTCACAGAACTTTCCAAAGGTGAGCTGCTATAAAGATGCACAGTAATGACTAAAATTCACCAACTCTATGGAACAAAACCTTGATATAGTATTTCAACGTAATTAAATTTAAGGTATAATTTAATACATTTTTATTTTCATTTTTTCCACATTATTTACATTTATAAAGAGCGCATAAGTCACAAAGGAAAACAGCTTTTCCATAAATGTTTTTTTATAATATATAGAAATGTTCTTGTTGACTATCCATGATTAATGATGATTAATTATGATCACATTTAATCACTAAATAATCATGATTGATCCATCACTATCTTGTGATTAATACAGTTTAAAATGTGTGTTTTTTTGGCACAATTTAAATTTTTTTCACTTTTTTGTGCTAATGCTAAGCTAGGCTAATACAAACTCCTCCAACCTTCCCATAAGACACATTTGTTATCATATTTTTTTTATTTTGTATTTTGTTTGTCATCAAATTCTCCACATTTAACAGTCGTCCTGTTTTCCTTCCCTGAAACCCACTATCTCTACATGTCTTCTTTTCAGATCTACTACATGTGGCTCTCTTCATCGATTGTTCACACATACTGTGAAGGCTATTGGACGCTGTAGCTTATTGACTATTGACTGTCTCTATCCTATGGCTTCTCTACCATTCTCCAGGATGGCTGTTGGTAAAAGATGGAGAGAAGGGAAGGAGGGAGAGTTTCAGGAAGGGGAGGGAGGAGTGAGGAAAGGAGAAGGAGAAGGAAGGGAGGTGGTGGAGCACTGCAGTGCAGATAAATTAATGCAGCAGTCGAGGCTGAGTCAGCAGCACACTCCCAGTTCGGTCCAGTGAATCCATCAGTTTGTGGCACATGAATGGCTGCCTAGGACACCAGAACAACTGCAAAATAACCCATTAAAAAATAAATAAAAAAAGACAAGGGACACTAATGAACCAGGACATATGTGACCATGGCAACCGCAGTGCCTCTACTGATGCAATGATGCACGCCCTGACCGGAACAGAGGGATTTGTATGGGATTTGGGTGTTGTATGAGAACAGGACAACCCTGGCTGGGGTGAAATAAAACCCAGTCATAAAAAATGTCTTTCGTGTGACGAGGAGCTCGACCTAATTCACATATTGCCACACCTTCACTGTCCTCTCCATCTCCTCCTCCCTCTCCGTCTAATCTGTGTTCCTCTCATCCCACCTCCCCTCAGCATGTGGTTTCTCCGTGGGCAGACCTGAATGGGATTAAATATAACAATCTGATGTGTCCCTGTGTTTTTTAAGAGGGTTGCCTCGAATTTGATAACGTGTTAAAGATAGGGAACAGCAGTCATTTAGTGTGTGGTAAACGTGTATTTACCAGGGGCTCTTCATTTCTTTCCGTGTCCTCCTTTTATGCCTTGCCATTGCCTCACTTTGCTGAGGCACAGTGTTACTCCCTTTAAAGTCAAACAGGCGGTAAAGTGTGACACAGCCAGCAGTAAAAGCATGTCTCTGCAGCTATCTGATCACATTTCGACCTTATACTGAAACCAAAGGTCTGTGGGTTGTGTGTGCCCCTGTCCAATTTCCTCTGTCTCCCCCTCATCATCTCTCCTCCCTCCTCCCGCGGTCTGTCTTTCTCCCCAGAGAATCAGAGGAAGGAAGGAAGGAGGACGAAGCTCTCAGCCAGGGCTATTATGGCCACGAGCCAGGAGCTCCCACCACAACTGCACCCTCATATGACACAGTTCTCCATTAGAGACAAGGAAGACCCACAACCAGCCTCCCTCCACCCTCCTTACCCCCTCCACACTCCACCCAAGCGAAGCAATCCCCAACAACACATGCACATAAATAAAACCCTGCAACACTATCACCAGTAAATGTCAACGGTTTCTCTGCACCTATGCTAACACAACATACACTACATTACCGACTGTATTTTCTACTTACCCTATTACATAACCGTATTGTGCAACTATGTAAATATATGCCTGCTATAGACAGTAAATCAAAATAAACCTACCAGATACATCTACACCCACAAAGTTTAAAAAAATCTTCTCAAAAGCTGGGCGTTTCATCACCCCAGCGATTAGTATGTACTAAACAACACCACCCTCTTGTGGTCAAAACCGATACATGCATAAACGACGTCGATTTCAACTGTTAAGATCAAACCAATAATTTCAGACTTCAGAGTAATTGTTTTTTTTTTCAGGCTACATCTGTGATTGATTTAAATAACGACAGGAGACATTTTACGCAAAGCAGAGCATGGAAATGAACGTTAAGCACGGAATAAAATGTGTTTTATTTAAAAAAAACAACAACAACAGGTTTTCTCTTTTTTTGCCCATTTGAGAATGCCTCAGCATTTTTTTAACTGACAGATAGTTTTTCTTTATACAAAGAACACTTATAAACACATAAACACGCTACATACAGATGGTCATACGTCTGAAATGCGTAGCGCTGCTTCGTCACATCTGTAAAATATACATAAACATTAAATCATTTAAAAGAAATAAATCAAGAAAGTACAATTTACCTCTGGTAATACACATTTAACTAAGAAATAAAAAACTCATATATATCACATATATAAATATACATAAGTTACTGTAACTTTAAAACACATGCATATATACTGTGTGTGTGTGTATATATATTGTAACTCTCCACATATGAAAAGGAATAGAGATGAAATTGTTGGATTTAAGGCTCACCCTTGTTTCACGCTGGCCAACCAATCCACAAAATTTTTGGCCTTAATTTTATCGAGATAGTGGCTGAAGTCGCTGGAAAAGGTTCCGTCTGAATGTCGTTTGATGTTTTGTACAATGTTTTGTCCTTTTTCCATCTGATACAAATGCCATCGAAGGAAAGCAGTGCTGAAAAGCAGGACCGGTTAATTTTCAGCAGCAGACTCTGTGTAGCTCATAAAAGAAATTATTATTATTATTTCTGTCTACGGCTAAAGCTAAATACTGAAGCTTGTTCTGTTAAATGAGCTTAGTTAAACAGTTAAACAGAAGAGGAGTAAATCTGTACCTCACTGGTCTTGTTTGAACCACCATCTCTTTACTGCTTGAACACAGGAACAGAATCAACATACACCACACGAGGAGGCTCATCTTCAGGTCAAGAAATAAACACACTAGTTAGATTCAAAAACAAACAAACATATCACAACAATTTTAAATAAAAATTTAAACTTACCGTGACAAACTTTTACAGGTCTCTAGTGGAGAACAGTTCCTTCTTTCCTGCAGCACGTATTGATTAAACCACAGAGATGCCTTGTCTACGTTCAGCAGAGAACACTGGGAGTAAAGAAAGAAGAAACGATGGTCTTCTTCACTTCCACATGGACAGCAGGTGTCCTAGTTTGACACTGAATTCACCTCCTTCAGCCCGTGACCCATTTTTCTCATTAGGGTGGTCTGGATCATTGTCGATAGGAACGGTAATGGTGTGTCATCTTCTCACAGGTCAAAGGTCACAGCCCACTCTGACTTCTTCAGACAGTAGCAGGTGTGGAGAAGTATTGTCCTGGTGTTTGATGACAAGAACATTCTTTCTGTACTGTTTGTTTGGCTAGGTTTATTATAAGAAAAAACAGTTTTATAAGAAGAAATTCAATTCAAACACAAAGAGTCATTTGTATGTGTTTCAGTAGGTTTAATACGTTTTATAATATATTCTCATTACATCATAATGTGACCACTGAGTTTAATGTGACCATAGATGATGTCATCAGTGACATGGTCAAATGCTTGTCTAAGTTACAAAAATATTTTTTTCAAATTAATATTAAATATATCAAAATATTATTCCTTTTTTTATCGAATATTAACGTAAATTTGTTAGAATTTAGTCACAAGATGATAAAACGTGTTTTGGCAATTTACAAACAACGACATCTATCAGTCCACACTACGGAGACACAGCTACACTGGAACAAAGAGGTGATTGGTGGAGACTTCATGGACCAGCCTGGGATTGGCTGCCAATCAAGTCACCTGTTGTTAGAAAAAAAAGGAAAAAAAGAAAATGGCTGCCAACAGCTCGGCACTTTCTGTACCACTTTTATGATACTTGGGAATAAAAACATTTTCATTTTATCCATTGAACTTCCTTTTGATTGTTGGGGAGGTAAGTCATACGCCTTTCAGTTTAATTAGTTCTTTAGTTCTTTTCAGAAAAGCTTAATACTTTCTGTCAGATATTTGTTGTCATTCATGTAGCTGGAAGTTCGAAATTCGTTTAAATGAAATCCCTTCAAATTCAATAATGAACATCTTGTCAATTTTACATTCCGTTAACAATGCTTGTTGCATCTTATGGTTAGTTTTGTGGTTGCATTGAAATTGTGGAATATTATGTTTTGATAATGTTCTTCTTGTTGTTGTATTGTTGTTGTTGTTTGTTGTTCGTTCCTGACAACATCTCAGTGGGGATACTTTTTGTATTTGCAAGCAACAGAAGCCTATATTTTTACACTTTTAAGGAGTATAAATATTATTTTTTTCTATTCCATTTGCATCACTAAACTGCACAATATCGTAACGATGGTCGGATTTATTAGGTTTTCTATCCAAATTTGTTGTTAAATAATTTCACTCAAGAGGAACATTTTATTTAGAGTTATATATTTTACGAAAAGGTCTGTATTGTATAAATGACAACAAACTTGTTATTGGTTTGTATATAGAGAGTGTCATTGCAAGTTTTAACCGCCAGATGCCAGACTTGCTCATAGCATTTTTAAGGCTCACGTCGTGAGGCCAATGACATTACATTCTATCTGAATTCTGTAATCGATTTTTTTTTGTCAAAACAAAATAAAAATAGTAGTTTTCTAATAAATGAACAAATACAACAGTGAAAAGTGATTTTTGAAATATCGTTTGAACGAATGTAGACTACTAATCCTGGAAACTGATCTGAATGTAATTTGTAGCTCTGGTAGTGAAGGGTCAGGAATCTTTAATTTCATACTGCAGTTTTTACCAGGAGTATGTGGAATCCTTGGAGAAAAAGACACTTCATCCAATCCTACCACCGACTCCCTGAGTGACCCTTTACCCCAGGGAGGGAGGAAATAAGTGTCTGAGTCTATATACGATATATAATTTCACCAAAAGAGGAGGCTGAGTTCAGTGCAGGGATCATGTCACTGAGGGTCATGCTCACAGGAACAGTGGTGCTGTTCTCTGCTGCTGCTCCTGCTGCTTTATAACGTGGTGCTGATTGAGACATTAATATTGCATTGGTCTGTTCATTCTTGTAAACTGAAAGAACGGCTAAATACACATCACATAGGGACTATAAGACACTAGGGTGGTGTCTGTGGTTCGGTGTTATTTTTTCCCCAGCTTACTCTTCTGCAGCCCTCGGTCTCTAACATTAGAGAATGATGTCATTATGTACTTGTACATGCTGTATTAGGAGAATAAAATAAGATGGGCCCATCACTAATGTTAGCTAAGGCATACCAAGTGTGAGAGACCTTTCTCCACACAGAGCTCTGTATTGATCGTGTATCAGTGGTGCAACAGTAAACATCTTCTCAAGCCAAACATAACAGTTTTTTGAAAAGTCGCAAGAGACAAAACACTGAGACTAAAAACATCTCAAATGGAGGAAACTGTTTAGAGTTTTTTTCCCCCTTTAATTTATTTACGCTGTTAATGATAGGCTATCAGATAGCTCTCTCCTTTTCCTGCTCTCTCCCCTCCTGCACCCCCTGCTGTAGCCTGGAGGACTGTTTTAGCCAGCATCTGGAGGAAGACTATTGAATAGACACCATTCTAATGGGTCCTGTGCTCCAGCGAGCGCACTCGGGGCATGGACGTCCAGCCATGGAGAATGGGTGGTGGGGTCAGGGAGAAGGAGGGGGGCACAAGCATGGGTTCCTAAAGATGTACCTTAACTTATTTCATATAGTACTGAATCCCCTCCCCCCATCCCCCCCATGGTATAGAGGAAAGTCTCAGATCAGTGGGAGTGTTATTTCTTCTTTAATAACAGCAAAAAAAGCACAGTGCATTGCAGCCTGGACTTGTCTATGGGGGTGGGGTGGGGTGGGGGGGGTGGAGTAGACTGTCGCTGTGGAGCAACTGTGGTCGTCTATTTTCAGCAGATTTGGGTGGAGGCTTGTGGACAACTGCAGTCCCATGACAGCCTTGTGTCATGTCCCTGCGCTGAAAAGAGTTGAAGTGGAAGATATTTTAGGAAGTTTACAGTATTTACAACAATTCTTTGAGGGATTTAAACTTGCCCTAAGACATTAGATTCATGCATTAAAAACAAAACCTTTTTCTTAAAATAATTTTAAAGCCAGTATTAAAATATAGGAAACATAAAGATATTGTATCTTTCTGGCTTTATGGATCAATGTTTTTGTGTCTGTCCAGTGAAACACTGGCTCAGGCTGTGGACGATGTGTACAAGGTAAAGGATTTCATGTGTCGGGCTAAGAGAAATGACTAATCCTATCAAAAAATAGTGTGAAATGACACATCACAGAGCCGACAAGGAGCAGTAATATGCTTAGTATTGATGTTTATGCCAAATGTTTATATGACGATATAACAAATTATGGCAACACTATTTGAGACATAAATAAGGACAATAAATGACATGAAGATGTAGTGCCGCCTTTTTTTTAATCTTCTATAATTTGCATGTTAATGAATTATACTCTTAAACAGAACTGCAGATGTTGTTCATTTTTTATATATAACTTTAAACCTGATAAAATTTCTAAAAACATTTGTTCTTTATATTATTTCAGAACCAGCCCAAACAAAACAAAGGAAATTGAGTCTTGTTAAAAATAAAATAATTTAGGACATACAATTAACAATTGTGATTGTGTTATATAATTGCAGTGTTTTAAATTGTATCATTTATCTTTATTATGCATGACTTTGTGTAGTGCATTAATACATTTTTAAAAAGCTTAAAAAGAAACCTTTTTGACAACTTCTAAACCATCGTAACTGACTTTACATCATAACCAGACCATATATAATTGTTTTAGTTTTTCAGATTAAAATAAATAATAATTAATAAACCGTGTAACTACAAAAAAATCCTGCTCCTGCAGACATCACAGCAGCCAGTCAGGCTCTGGTGAGTTAGTGTGTGGTAACTGTCGTTATTTCTGCGGCTTCACATCTCCACCACAATGCAGACATACTCCCCATGATGACAACATAACTACAGTATATTACAGCAAGGAAGACTTAACTGGCTCTTGTGTTTCCTAGTCTGGTGATTCTTCTTATCTGAGAAGACAGAGAAATGGAGTAATGGTGTCCCTGCAGCTGTCAAAACAACCATCCTCTGTCTGTTTACTTGATGCATGTTCCTCAGAGATGGAGCTCAGCTGAGCTGCAAGACAGAGGTTATGAATGGTCTTAGTACATCGTGTACTGGTGTTGAGGACTTTTCCGGTTTACGCATCTATATTTTATTAAAAAGAAAACTTTATCTTCTTGTTTTTATATATTATCCCTGCCATATAGTGCAAATACACCACAGGCTGTTCTGTGAACTCAGAATAATCAAATCAGTGTATGAGTCTTGTATTTGTTCCATTGTGATTTGAATTAGAGAGCAGAAATGGCAGATTAGTCTTAAAGCCACAGAAGTAGATTATCCACTCATCTCTAAAGCTCATGCACTGAGGGCTCCTCATCATCCTCGCTCACGGTTCAGGGGGCAGGAGTGCCCGGCTTACCCCTGGTCAGCTGATCTCCATCCTCGTCGCCATCACATTCTGCTTATTAAAATTCTGGTTCAACCTTTTCTTTTTCTCCCCCTGTGTGATTCTTCCCATTGTATTCTGTCTGATTGATGTTGACTGGGGTCACCTAAGTCTTTATGGGGGATCATGGCACAGTGCGCGGGGGGCTAAATGTTTACATGCATTCATTTGACTTTACCCAGGGGTCTGCCGGCCCAGTACAGGGTCACCACCATGGACAAGCAGACTAGGCCATATGTCAAGCTTTTCTCCACCACTGGATTGAAGGTCAGGCCCATTAGGTTATGGAGGCTAGTTAGAAAGAATAAATAATCTCTGTTTACAGATACCTCCTGTGTAATTTGGCGTTGAGCTCTCAGCTTTGACATCGGATGAGTCCTGATATTAGTGGGCTGAGAAACGTGTGTGGCTAATGTGGCTTCACTGTTTACATTAACCTGCCCTGTATGCCAGATAAATAGGCTGAGGATGGGACTTTTGGATTACTGGTATACAATATATGTTGGACACATTTTGTCCTGTCTGTACATGTATATGTACTTTAAAATATACCATCGCAAAAATAACCTTTTTCTAGAAGTATGATAAATGGTTTGATTATTTTTGCTCTCCCCAAAATAATTTGAGTGCAAAAAACCCCAAACCTGTATAGAACAGGATGTTGCATCACTTTTGTCCTATTTTCACATCTGCCGCTTGTCCTTCATCTGTCACCACTGCTCTTCTTTTAACAAGGACAGTTGAGAAATCCTGAGACCCATAAACATTTTTGTTTCTCCATGTGCAAAATGAATTGTTTTTGTGTGTTTTGAGCTACAGCTCTCCCATCAGTTGTTTAGCTGTTAGTTTTGGGCTGCAGTGTTAAGTGAGCGATCAGGGTGCTGGACCTGTGGCAGCATGTCAGACAGTACAGCAGAGCAGC